TTACCTTATAAAGCTAGAGAAGAAAAAGTTAATATCAGGTCAAATGTAGGGCACGTTTCTGTCGTAAAAAGTACCCTTACATCACGTATTCTAGATAAAATGCACACAACTTTTTATTTTATAACGCCATACTTGTTTTGTTGCTTTTTATGTCATAGCTATGTTTATTTGGGCTATGACGACCCCAACTTACTGCGATACAATTTGATTATACGCGTTTTTATAACATTTGCATTGTCATGACATCCGAGTTTGCAATTTTGCATAATGCAGTACTAAACCTTTTGTTTTTATTGGCATAAAAATTGCGATGAATATAAAAGAACTGTTAACATTCCTATTGTTGGTTACAAAAGAATAAAACCTGCCTTTGTTAAAAGCTACGTGGTTATTTGTAATTTTATGTTATACTTAGAGAAGGCACGCGAGCAAATGACCCGCCTAATGGTAAGTGGCCATCGTCGTCCATGGATATTTAACGTAACAAATTTTAGCGTAAGCGAGATATTACGTCCGAATATAGAGTTTGTGTGAATATTGTACAACATTAAATACACGATTTGTGTTTTTTGAGATACAAATTTAAATTCGAATGCTTTAGAAATACACCTCTAGACCACCGTCTTTACATTTTATTGATATTAATGTAACGTATTCATGCGGAAAAAAGATCTTGAATAGCGTTTAATAATATTAACTAAGTTTCATCTTTCCTGCCAGGAATAGTCTACGTGCGAGAAATAAGCATAAAAAGTTAATATTTGACAGGAAGCCTCTACTAAAAGCTAAAAGAACAGGGGACACTTAGCTAATGCTACTATTAATACAATTACAGCACAACATATAAAGCTGTACCGGCTAGACTGGTGTAGATATTTACCTGGCTGCAAATTAAACAGAAATGAGATAGCTAAAATAATTGTTCACCTCTAGTTACTATGTAGTACCTATGTATACAGGGTGTCCCAGAATGGGTGAATCAAACTGATAGGGGAGGTAGCTCTACTAATATACTATCCCTAAAAAATAAAGCGCATAAGGACACAAAAAAAATGTTTTTGAAAAAGAGAAAATATATCAGCTTTGTCTAAGTATCTGGCTATAATTGCTGCGATTGGAGTTTGTTTGTACTTTTTTCTCACAAATATTAATTGTACGTGATCGCTTCGTTTATCCGTAAACAAACTTTTGAAAATAATGACTAGATTTCGAGTTTAGAGCACTTTATTTTTAAAAAATCCGAACTCAAAATCTTATTTTATATTTTTTAGGGATAGCTACATTAGAAGAGCTACTACCTCCCCTATCAGTTTGATTCACCCATTCTGGGACACCCTGTATGTAAGCACATAATATTCTCTTCATGTCCCGTATCTACGTTTGTAGAGCATCCAACTTCGGGCTTTCGCTCAAGGTCTCTCACTGTTTATGAGTGACTTATATTATTTAAGGCTTCTAAAACAGAAATGGTTTTTAAATAAGCAAATCTTGTTTGTAATTTCGTATTCCGATGGGAAAGTCCTTCATTCTCATTCAATTATTCAGTGACAGAGCCGGGACAAACAACAACCGAATTACAGATTCGTGTTATTGACTAATGAGAGGGTTGATGGAAGAATAGAATATTGATAGGTTCTATCAAATGCACTAGTAAGAATGAATCCTGGAATTACGATTAATAATAATGCGAGTGAAGTATTTATTTACTCATTTATTCATTTATTTGTCATTCATTCATTCATCTCATCACAAATTAATGAATATTTGACTTATTCATTCCTTCATTCATTCATTCATTCATTTGTCTTTCATTCATTCATTCATTTGTCATTTATTCATTCATTCATTCATCTCACCATAAATTAATGAATTTTTAACTTATTAATTCATTTATTTGGCGTTCATTCATTCACTATGACATCGTCAGCAGTTTAGTTTTGGAGGCGTATTGATAAAGTACCTATACCTACCTTCTTCTTCTGTTTCGAATACAGAATCAATATAATGAATGATTTATGATTATTTCATTATTCGCATGCAATTTATATTCTAGCACTTATTCAACAATACGTCTCCAGATAAATTTTAAATATCCATTGCGAACTCATTACATGCTTGAAAGAATACTACACAGTTATTCATAAATTCATATTTGAGTGATACCTAACTCCTTTTCCAGTGGTTAATGTGATTAAAATTGTAAAACAAAGGCTACATTCCGACATAAAACATTAATGCATAATTCTTGGCGAACAACCGTTAAAATGTTGTGATTGTTGTTATGGTTTATTAAAATATAAAAATTTTAATCTACAACTCAGTACTAATAACCTATTTTAGTGGTTAACAGGCATCTGGCTCACTTTTACGAGTTCGCAGCATTTTTGTTGCGGTCGGTGTCTGGATTTTGGATGATTGACTAATGTTTCCAATGAAAATCGACTTTATAACGAGAGCGTTACGTGGCAGCTAAATATTTAGAGGAATTACGCGAATCTTTTCGGTTTTGAGAAACATTTGTTATAGTCTTGTTGAGTAATGTAGTGAGTAATCTCTGCTAAGACTTTAAATAAACATGAATTAACAAAATTAAAATAAATTAACTTTATGAAAGTCCCAAATTGAGTCCCAAATCATGTATCATATTTGATATTCTCTCATAATTAGATAGACCATAATGAGAGTAGCTCCACTCTCTTTTACTAGTGGCAGCCACAATTAAAAATATTTTCTACATTCTTTTTCTTTTCGTGTCGACAACAAACCTACACACAGTGTCAGTCCAAAACTCCGCCACGATAGGGTGGCGTTGTCAGCAGCACTCATCAAATCCTCCTGAGTGCAGTTGCTTGGGTACTCAGGGCACGACATTCTACATTTATAAATTGCTAATGGTGAAATAAGTACCATGAAAGAAACTAAACTCCTACCATAGGTACTAAACGTCACTTTAAAACAGTGTTCAATTAGGATGTAACTTTTTATTAAGGGAGCCGATGCCTAATCTAACGTGATTTTTTTAATATTCATTGTTTTTCTACTTGAAAATTAAATGTTCTTGTTTAACTGTGGTTTAAGTCTTTGAGGCAAACCTGAAATAGCAAGAAGTTTACTTGGCATTATTCAATTAAACCGCTCCCTTGACTTCGAAGGCGAAATGCAAACGGCAAACACCGCAATTGAATTCCACATTAAGGCGGAACACGTGTAATAAATATCTGGGTCTTGACAAGGATTTAGATCTTCGGATACCTGCTAACGTGCACGAAACCGAATTCATTATTGTGTTAATTGTTTGGGAAGATCACGGCTTTTACACGAAGAACCCTAAAAAGGACCTATGCGGCAAATGTTGGTAAGAGTTTGAGGAAGAACTCGAGTTAAAGTCTAAATTATAACTCACAGGTGTCTGACATAGTGATCTATAAACGCACAGCCCAAACCACAGGACGGATCGCGCGGGCTGAAATTTAGCAAGCAGTTAGATGTTATGACGTAGGCATCCGCTAAGAAAGGATTTTACGAAACTCTACCCCTAAGGGGGTAAAACGGGATCCATGCGTACGAAGTCGCGGGCGGCCGCCAGTTGATTAATATTTTTGGACTGAAAATTACTTCTGGTGATCTTTTTCTTCACATTCCTTATTACTTTATTTCTTTCCAATGGTGGAATTTAATGTGTTTTAATTATCTATCCCCGCACCAGTTAAACAATTTACATCGTTAACGAATAAAAACAAAAGTTTCAACATACCGAAATCTATCTATCTATACTTATAATAAATCTGTAGAGGTCAATTCTGTACATGAAAATAACTTTTTCAAAATAACTATCAGGGGGTGATTAGTGATCGATACTGATGCCAAAAATGCAATCAGTAAAATTTTTGTCTGTCTGTCTGTCTGTCTGTCTGTCTGTCTGTCTGTATGTTCCTTATAGAAACAAAAACTACTGGACGGATTTTAACGAAACTTGGTACAATTATTTTTCATACTCCTGGGCAGGTTATAGTATACTTAGGAATTCCCATGGGAACGGGAATTAGCGGGAAAATCCTTTTGTATTAAAAATCCAAACCGCTTAGGTTAGATGCTTGAAATTTAGCAAGCATAGAAAGGTACCTTAGTAAACTTAAAGCTTAGTTACAACAGGATATTGCAAAATTCCCACGGGAACGGGAGTTAGCGGGAAAAACATTTGTATGAAAAAATCTAAACCGCGTAAGATAGATGAAGCAGGTAAAACGGGATCCACTCGAACTCGCGTACGAAGTCGCGGGCGGCCGCTAGTTATGTAATAATTTTGCTGTGTTAAAATCAATTAGGCTGACTACTGCTCAGGTACTTAGAACTAAACTTAGTACATTTGTATTGAAATATTTAAATACCTAATTAGACGAATGGTTCAAGGACTTATACAAAGAAAACTAATCCTATTTGGTAATAAGAAAATTAGGTAATAGGTGAAATCAAATTTAGCAAACCCAATTAGATCATTTGTCTACTAATAGAAGAATGTTTGTACGATATTATCCTACTAATATTATAAATGCGAAGGTTTGGATGTCTGGATGTTTGTTACTCTTTCACGCAAAAACTTTTGGACGTATTTTGTTGAAACTTTACAGTACCTAATTATTGTTTGTAACCCAGATTAACATATAGGCTATAATTTATTCCGATCCGTGACACAATATTTCACGCAGGTGAAGCCGCGGGCAAAAGCTAGTTGAAAATAAATCAGAATAATATGTTACATTGATATTTTAATATCATACGATATGTTAAAGACGTACAAATCCAGGATAAACTGGAAAGAGCTCAAACTAAGTATTCTTAGGATTTATATCTTTCTCGTTTTCTCAAACCACTGGAGGAGAAGGCGAATTGTGAAATCCTGTCAGGTAGAATTTATGTTACGAGTGATAATCTGGATTTACCCTTTGAATTTCGCGTCTGTTTAGACAGGTATTGGGAAAGGTAAAATAAAAAGTACTTACAATGCGAAATTAGACTGCCAATACCTGTGAAAAAATAAATTAATCAATCAATACATAAAATATAATATGAAAAATACTTTAGAAAAAAGCTATCGCATGCTTTACAATATTCATCTTCATTATTAGAGCAATTAAAACCGAGATATCCGAAAAAAATCCTACCTAAAGTTTGAAACGTAATTATTTATGTGGTGCAAATTAAACCAAAAAGCCTTAGGTTAGGACAGTCTTGAAGTTGAGTGAAAGTCGCATAGAATTTCAGATTTCTAACATTTTGCCTAAAACTTTCTATGTCATCGCACAAGTTCAAAAGCTCTAGAAGTTTATATGTCGCCCCGCAAGTTCGCTAGTCCAGTACAATGGGACAAATGAATTCAAAGTATTCCAAAGTTGTTACAAGTGAAGAAGTGGTTCTCAACCTTCGTACTCCTTGCTTGACCATGAATCTTCATACTCGATGGAACGAAGACAAAAAATTGGAAGGTTGCATGATTGCGGATCTTACGCCTAGATGGACAGCCGCAGTCTGAAATGATAATGACGACTCTTTGCTTTTTAATGTATGGATCTCTTATAAACCCTTTCATATCCCTACCTCGAGAAAATTGCGGACAGTGATTCAGTGAAAAGATGCCATAGTATATGATCATGATAACACTAGTCCAAATGTCTGGTTTGCTAAAAACAAATTAGCGTAATAATAGGACTATAAATTGGTATTAAGAGGATAAGTTTGGGCGAGGTCAGTGTTTTTATAACTCTATAAATATTCGTAGAGAGACAGTGTGGTCATTATTCAAAAAAGTTTGGGAGTCGCAGATAAAAAAAAATCATGTGAATAAGGTTGGAAAAGAATTTTGCCTTCTGAGATTTAGGGACCATTTGCATATTGTCAAGTCAACATTGTGTTTTGTGTTTAGAAAATCTTTTGCGAGCCTAATAAAATGTTGTGCTGTCGACCTTCCTCTAATCTAATTTATGAACTAGACAGGTATATCCCTATTTAACAATAGCCATGTGATTGCAGGGGAAATTTCAGAGGTCTTTTTAGGGACATTGGTTGTAAGATCCTGGAATACTGACAAATGAGAATTTCCTACCTGTGTCATATTTAGAGTAAGGTAGAACCTGGTTAAGACGCTTCAGCGTTAGTTTATTATTTTATACATTATACCATTATTACTGGTTAGAGTCCACAGAATACACAATGTGGTCTGTGTTAAAGTCAAAACAATAAACAAAGCAAAGCTCTGGTAGGACCCAAAAGATACCTGCTTTTTTCTTTATTTGTTATTTTTGACGTTCATAAAGTGTTAAAATACTGGTAAAAATTTAATACATATTTTTGATTTGATTTTGAAACACCATTTGTTCATACGATAGTAACAAACTTCACATTGTTAACGAAACACAAAATCGAGTATGAGTTTGAAGAGTTCTAAAAGTTTCTCAAAAATATTTTATCAAACTGATAATATAAACTTGGTTAATTTGATAACTTTATCTTGTAAACATTTATGAAACGAAGCACACTTTGGCTTTGAATTAAACAAAGTCGTAATTAAAAACCTTGTTTGTATACTTAGCCCATATATGCCCAGAGGCACGAAAACGACCCAATAGTAGGTACATGTTGTCTTGCGGATGCCTGTAGGCCTAATATGCGCCCCGTGATAACTTTTATCGACGTCAAAATGTATGGGCAAAATCGATAAAATGGCGTGATAACCGCTTATCGCGGCGCGCATCTTAGGCGATAAAAGGCGGTAAAAGAAACTTTAAACATCCCAAATTACATAAAAATCTGGGACCTAAATAGTTCTGCGCATAAATATGGGTTAAAAATGTAATGATGTACAAATAGGGTTTCTGATTTCTCGACCTATTTTTTTTCTCGAGTTTCGGGAATTCTCGAGGCCAAAGTCTCGAGTTTTCTCGGGTCTCGAGTATTTTAATGAAAACTGTTGAAATCGGTTGAAATTTAATAAAAACACAGGTTTTTTAATCTAATATGTACCTACTTTTATTGCACGACAATCAATATTAGAATTTAGTACCTCTTATTTTGGCAAGGAATGTAACAAAAAATAAATTCTTCTTTCATAATTAACTAGCTGACCCGGCGAACTTGGTTCCGCCTTAATGGCAATAAATAAGCAGACTTTTTTTTTTGTTTCGAACGGGATAAAAAGTATCCTATGTCCTTCTCCTGGCTCTAAACTACCTCCCTGACAGTTTTCAGCTAAATCAGTTCAGCCGTTCTTGAGTTATAAGCGAAGTAACTAACACGACTTTCTTTTATATATACAGTGTGTCCGGGCATGTAGTGATCAAACTTTAAGGGCGTAATCTATGGACAATTTTATCGGTGAAAATACTTTAAATTTGGGGCTTGACCCATTTCTCGCATATTTACAAGGATTTAAGTTTTTAATTTTAAGTTTTCACCTCTTCCTTCAAAAACAAGTGATAGCGTGGGTCGTTTAACATTATTAAGCAAAAATTTTATATCATGCGATAGCCAATAAAATTATCTATTAGTAGAAGTAGAAAACAGATACAAGTTACATACATTTTAAGGGTGTAAGAATGGATTTAATTAGAAATAAACATGATTTTTTTCACATCTTTTTCAGTTATTTCCCAACACAAGAAAAACCAGGTCGTTAAGGTATGTTTTATTTGCATTTTATTATTAGTATTTGAGCTATTCTACAAAACAAATGTAAATTTATTAGTCTACGTCTATTAGTTTCGACGTAATTGTTGAACAAAGATACCCCTTCCCAGTGGTTTCCATAGCGCACGCGACATGCGAAAATGTACTGCCTGAAAGAATCACACAACCTATTCCGATTACTATGGGAACCGCTGGGAATGGGTATCTCTGTTCAACAATTACGTCGAAACTAATAGACGTAGACTAATAAATTTACATTCGTTTTGTAGAATGGCTCAAATACTAATAATACAATGCAAATAAAACATACCTTAACGACCTGGTTTTTCTTGTGTTGGGAAATAACTGAAAAAGATGTGAAAAAAATCATGTTTATTTCTAATTAAATCCATTCTTACTCCCTTAAAATGTATGAAACTTGTATGTGTTTTCTACTTCTACTAGTAGATAATTTTATTGACTATCGCATTATATCAAATATTCGCTTATTAATGTTAAGTTACCCACGTTTTCACTTGTTTTTGAAGGAAGAGGTGAAAACTAAAAATTAAAAACTTAAATCCTCGTAATTTTGCGACAAATAGGTCAAGCCACAAATTTGAAGTATTTTCATCGATAAAATTGTCCATAGATTACGCCATTAAAGTTTGATCACTACAAGCCCGGACACACTGTATAGATATTAACTAATAATCAAAAGTCATAAAGTCGCGTGTATTTTAAGGATAAATAACAATAAAAATCTGGAGCTACAATTAAATCACTTGTTTTCCAAAAACACAAGTCCAAGTAACAAAATTACGATAAATAGTTTTTTTTATAAACCAAAAAAACTTTTTAATAAATGTTTAAATTTCTTAAAGATAACGACTTGAATAAACTTTACAAGGAGGCACGAGTACCTAACCTAATAGACAGTTAACAAATTTTTCAGTCTTTAAATCAGTCAGAGTTAAACATACATAATTTATAGCATACTCGTTGGTGAACATTATTACTTAGTTTCGATTGAGATCATTACTTGCAAATCAAATCAGTTAAAAAAGGAAAGACTAGGCCAGTCTAGAAGCAACGTTAACCTATTAAATAATTAAAAACTCGCTTTTGTCTAAGAAAATAGGCTTTCAAGAATATTAAAGCTTCAAAATCGAAACTCGAGAATTCTCGAGCTCCGGTAATTTTTTTCTCGTCTCGAATGAAGCCAAATTTCTCGAGTTTTCTCGAGTTCGAGAAAGCTCGAGCAGAAACCCTATGTACAAACAATGTGCTTTTTCAAACTCGATCTCTCATTCGCGAAATTTTAACTAGAATAAATCATTTACACTCTGTTGTTGGTGCGCAGGGGCGTCATTATGAAGGTGGATAACCATTAGTTATGGCTTTTATAGTTAATCCACGCTTAAACGGGATTTATAACGCCCTCCCCTTGGTGTATGTAAACATTTTGGGAAGTAGGAGTTAGCGCGTTTTTTTCGAGTCAATCTTTACAAAAAAGTTTTAATATTAGATGTTGAATTTATATTCCATCGCTAGATACCCTTAAAGCAGCTGGATGAAAAAGCCCGGGATCGCGTCTTTTTTTTGTTTTGTCGTTCCTTCAGTACTTACACAGATTTCATAATAGTAATCCGGGACTTTTCAAGGCGAGAGTGAAAAGGCTCTTACAGAGCAGATACGTACCATCCTAGACTGCATCTCGCTTAACACCTGCCTTGTTATGCATAAAAAAGTAAGGTAAGTAATGTACTACTGGATCCTTTAATCCTTTACTTTGCTTACCAACTGTTTCTTCTAAAACTTCACTATCAGACAAATAAAAAAACTGATCTACGTAAAAGCTTTACGGGAGTCCAAAGTAGGTATTAAAAACAAACTTTAAGGTAACTCATAAATATGTAAAACTGGCACTTTAGGATGAAGGCATAAAACATGGAAAAGTTTCACTTTTACGCGCTCGATCTATATTTGAATGAGTGCGCGTAAAAGAGCGCTGTCCATTGACAGCTGCACAACACTGTGGCATCTAATTCATAAACAGTTGTAAAAGATACTAGGTATTTTGTTACTATACAAATACTCTTTGTGCTATTACATAAGATCCGGTTTCCATCGGTTGAAATCGGTTTGGTTTTGAAAATATTTCTCCGCTCCTTGGTGGAAACCGGGCCTAACATTAAATTCCTTTTCATTTCGAATTAAGAATAGTGTAACCTCAAAAACCTTTTTGATCTAAATAGAAGAACTCTACAAAAAGTGAAATAGGATTCCTGTTTCACTATTAGTAGAGTATATATCACAGGCTCTAACAAAACATCAACTCTTCAAACTGGCCACTAGAGCGTAA